GGAAGAGACCAAGAAGATAGCTGACAAGAATTTCTAGGGCTATGGATTCCTCCTATGTATCCTTCTTTTCAAATCACAATGTATACATGAGATGATCAGACCTCAATACAATATAAAAAGGCCCAAGTAAATGCTAGAGCTGAAACATCATCATAGAAGGAAAGGGGAAAACCCAGGTCAGGCATGACCCAGGTCAGGCATGACATTTCCCTAGGTTCTGGAGCTTCACGATGTATCCTTTGATTGAATTCTTTACCAGTAGATCTCAACTTAAACTTTAGATTCAGACACATCTCTTATTTTAACAAATAATAATAATAATAGGAAGGGGATGAAGTCCAAGTTTAAGAAGCTTAATGCTGAATTTATGATGGAGAAGTCTTACTCTGATATTCCTGTCTTCCTGTATTCCAGCCACTACCTGCACCTGGAACTGCAGGCTCACAAACACCTATATTTCCAAATCAAAGCACTCAGAAAAATCATGACTTAGGTCCTGTTACTGAACTGATAGACGATACTCAATTCCTATTTCTACAGCCAGCAGAATCAACAAAAGCTATAGCTATCAAAATGAAATTTTCATGTAGTTCCTGGCTTCTAGGGCTGGAGTTGCAAAGAAAGCAACACATTTTGAAAGCCTTAACAAAATCACTATCAAATGCCTACAGAATAATTTTGGAATGATACCAGTGTGCTAGTCCCTAACACAGATCTTCTCAAAAGTCGGCAATTTGAGTTCTGTGAAGCTTCTTTCCCTACAAGCCGGGTCTCCCTTAATTAGGCAAACTCTAAACACAGCCCGTTTGTCTCTTGTGAAGAAAGTGCTTTTCTGGAAGAGGGCTGACTGTTCCTGCCTACCTCAGAGTACTTTTGAGTTCCATCAGTGCAAAAGGAGAATCAGGACACTTTGTACTGTTCTTCCTATAGTTTTGTAACAATGGAAGATATTTCAGAGGGGCTGGCAAGACTTTAAAAGGAATGTATTGAAGAAGACAGTTTAGGCTACTAGACTTAATAATTAAGTAATTAATCAATTGAAAGGTAATTCTCATCATTTAGCCTGTTTGTTAAGTGTTTTGCCTTCCTGGGTTTGGCAATGAAACAAATAATAAATAAACAAATAACAATTTGCAACCTACTGCAGTCCCTGGAGCTTGATTCTGTCTTCAATAAATCAAAAAAACTATGGGCAGAGACTAAAGCAGCACTGGGAACCCTTCCTGTCCCCACTTTTATTCAGCCAGCACACTCCAAATCTGGCTGATGAAATGGAAGTGTCAGGACACAGCAGAAGTCACCTCTCAGTACACCCACCAATTACTTCTCCCAGGCCATAGAGTCAAGGCTGGAAATAAAAATGGCTGCCCTATTGAACAAAAACAGGTCCTAAATTTAGAACACAAACATATCTTTGATTTGCTTTCTCCCTTTCTTGACTTATCTCTAAGGGAGAGGGTCTGAAAATATGAGTCACCCCTCATTGCAAATCTAGATTTTCCCAATTCTACCCCACTAAAAATCCACTGAATACCACAGGGCTAAAGCAAGGGTGGACCTTGTCCTACCTTTCTGCTACAGATAGCATTTTACTGTCACTAAGGGAATAAAATAATCATAACAGCATAATGATAGCATGTGTTTTGTTAGCCGCTGTTCTTCACGTGGGGCAATCACTGGCAATTCTCAGATTTAATCTCTCTCCTTCCCCAACTATGCAGTTGATTACCGCTCTCGTTCCCAGTTAAAAATCCTTGATCAGAGTAAGGCACATAAAGGAGTCTCTGACCCTGGCTAAGGGAACAACAAGAGATGACATTTGGTTCTTTGAGAGAGCAGTAGATAAAAAGCAAAAATGACAGCTGGAGTCAGGAGGAGCTAGTTAGTGGATTGCAGACCCAGGAGGGTGCGGGGTGGGGGCCCATAAAAGAGGAACAACAAGAGACTGCAGCCAGGCTGTTCCCTCTCCTTCTCTAGGTGTCCTTTGCATCAGTAAGAAGGGTTGCAGCAGATGTCAGGGCCCATGGGGATCACTCCTTTGGCTATTGTATTTTTTTTAAAAAGGTTACCTAGAAAATAGAAGAAATAGGAGGAAAAAAAGAAAAATGAATCAACATTCATACTTAACATGTGGGAATGAATACAAAGGTAAGCGCCAACTTGTAATGACCTGTGGTATGTAAATACGCTTAAGCCAGAGGGAGGAATTTTTTTGGGTCCAGTCCAACAGTGCCAATCATTTACAGGATTTGACTGGGATTAACCTGTGATTTCCACTTCAGGATACAAAGGAGAAATACAATAGGCAAGTAGAAGGCAAGCAGCAGTTGCGTGGAGCATCCCTGCTCTTCTCCAAAACACACACCACAGTCAGACCTGGCTTGCAAATACACCTGGCACGGCTGTCTCAGCTCTGGGAACATCCCCAGACAGCAATCAGTGCATGTGCACATATACACACGTGTGTGTGCTCACACATGTCCATGTGCCTCAGCACACTGCACAAACACACAAGATGTCATCTGTTTCTAAAGCATCAAATCTCATTCAACATTACTAGAACGCCAGACACTAAACATTTCAGTCAAAGGCATTTTAGGTGCAATTCACTGCCACTGGTGTAATTCCCTTGAAGTCCATGGAATTACACCAGGGAGAAAGAGGTTGGCTGTTCAGTGTTTGCAGCTTGCCAATTTGTGCATCTGTGCTGGTTCTTTTGTTTTGGAGACACGGTTCTACAAATTATCATTTTGAAAGATTAATTTTTGTTTTAAAAAGATCACATTCTAGGGGTAGAGTGAGAAGCCCACTTTCATCCACAAAGTCCCTTTTTCTCAACTCCACACAGACGGATGGACATTACATTTGTTCAGATTTGCAAATCCACAAAGGCACACAAAAGTGGGCAAAGACATTGCAGACGTTAACGGCTTCACAATAGAAGTCGCTTTCTGTGGCAGAACAATCCAGTAATGACAGTGCTGGATAAACCTTCCAGGTTGTCTCCTTTCCAGGATTCGTAGAAGGTATTTCAGAAGAGACATTCAAATGAAGACTGCGTGTTTTGGCTTGGTACATCTGGATCAAGAGGAAGCCCAAATGCTGCAGAAGAGACGAAAGAGCTCTGACCTCGGAGAACACTTTTGTCCGATTTTCCAGGAGGGAAGTTGCATGTACTTGAGGCACACTCAATGCTAGCTGAGGTTTTTTAATACAGATTTTTGCAAAATCTGTAATTCCCTCCTTAAAAGTGCTATCGTTTGGAGATTTCCCATTTCATTATTCTGGTAAACCCACATTCAAAGAGGAGGAAGTTGTGTGAAGTCCTGAAAAGAAAAAACACCTTGCTATGGTTCTCCTTTGATGGGCTAGTCAGGAACCATCTCCCCAGACCACTTGTTTGACTCAAAGGCAAAAAGTAGTTTTCAGCAAAATAAACAGCAGCTAATCAAGATGAACCTATTTGCTTATACAGCTTCATTGGCTAAAATACAACACCAGCCCTGAGTGTTATTTATCTTGGAGGTGGCAACAATAGAAACTGAGCAACTGATTACACAGCTTCTCAACCAGTTATGCACCAACATTTATCTCCTGTGTGCAACAATGGAGATTTAACCAGCTCTTCAGCCTTACTTTAAGATTTTACAAGCACCCAGCGATATACTTAGCACCTTGTCTAGCAAAATAATAAAAAAGCAGCAAAGCCCCAGCACCAGAAACACTCAACGGCAGTCTCCCACACCTGCACCTGGAGGGCAAAGACGAATGCTGTAGTAGAGAAACGTGTGAGCATTCAGAGGCAGGGACTATGTTGGTACATGTTTATGAAGTGCCTTGTGCAGCAGGGCCCAGAGTGGAGACTGGGCTCAGCATAGGTTTTTTCCTTCTTTTTGAGTCTAGGGAAAACCAAGCAAGATAATAAAAGAGACTCAACTGATAAGGTTTTGGGAAGAATGATTTATCTGTTTTCTCTGTAAATACCAATTGCTTGTTTCTTGGCATTCGTGTTATTTTCATCCAAAAGGCAAACCTGCTGTAATATGAACTCAGCCAAAACCCAAAAACAGAGTACTGGTGTACCTGGAAAAAGAGACCGACAGTATGGGAAGTGCTTAGCATTCACTAAAGGACTGAAAAAATAAAAATAAAAAAGGAAAGAGAAGGAAGAACACAAATTAAAGACACAGTGTGGATGCAGGAGAACACACAAAGATTCCCCCTGCTCACCCCTGCATCCGTATGACAGTGCAGCTTTGTGGAACAGAACAATAGGTACATTATGCTAACCTATAATTATCCCGAGAAGAATGATAGCAAAGTCAAGGCATTACATGAACATTGGAATATTGGATACAATCCCATAAGAAGCAAGGGGGTGGAGGAGGAGCACTTTGAAATGAGATTGAAACCTTCCTAGCACAGAACATCAAAGGAAATTTCATGTTCTCTTCACGTTTATTTGGGTGTTCCTTATCCTTGATTTGATGATTTAAACACAATTCCCTTTTTCATGCACTTCTCGGCTTTATGCTGCAATTGGTTCCAGCACTGTAACACCCTCCTTTGACAGCACGGTGGATTTGGTGCAAGCAGGAGCTCAGCCCAGTGCATGCACCATGTGCATAAGCCGTGTGAGACAGGAAAGGAGGATGGAGATGTACTCCAGCGCTGGACAAAGAAAAGCGAAGGGCTGGCGATTCAGTGAATGCATAATCAAGTGTTCCCAAGTGAGCACAGGCACTCGATACCTGCAGCCTCATTCCAATCAGATAGCAGGCACTGAAACACAGGAAGCAGTGAGGCACAACTCTACACCTGCTTAAAACATGCTGCTTGCATTTGTAGTATTATGCAATGGTGGGGAAATGCTGGAAGGAAAACTCAGAGTTGGAGATTTCGCTTGTTCTGTTTAAGACACGTTACGTTGCTTCAGACACTTCGCTCTCATCCCAAAATAACAGAAAGGACTGGAGTAGCCTACCAGTTCTACAAAATCTGAATGGTCTTCCTTGATTTTTTTTTATTTTTTTTTTTTTGCAAGAGTAGGTAACTATGACAACCTGGTGTAAGCAACTGTATCTCTTCATCCACAGACTGCCCGGTAGGAGGCAGGGAGAAAAAAGACTAAGCACCTTTTCATTTGCTCATTCTGCTCCTTCCTGTAGGCAAGAACCAGCCTCATGCCCTCCAGAAAGCATGGCCAAGCGCCCCAGCACACCGTGACTCCAAATGATGAGCAAAGATTAAAATAAATCCTAGCAAAACAAAGATCTGCCTCTGCGGGCTCTTGCCGTGTCACTTCTGGCTCCAGCCCAAGTGTTCCTAGCAAAGCACCCGCACCTGTATCACGGGCAGCCACACTTCCTCCCAGCTATGAGAAGTTTGTGCTGCATAGATAGGAGATGCCAATTTGAACAGTTATTAAAGTTATTTACGGCCCAGTAGTGTCAGACTATTGCTGGCCAGCACTCGGAGCGCTGCTCCCTAATGGGATTTGGACCTCATCTAGCGTTCAAAGGAGCCCAGGAGCCCCCGCTTTACACAAAGCAGGCTACCTCTGATCACCCAGTTGGTAGCATTAACCTCTGTGAGGGAGCTCAAAACAGTTGCCAAGTTCATGTGGGCCCAGAAACCTCTGTTGCAGACTGGAGCGAGATCCGAGCGAGATCTTAGCAGGAAATACGTGGCACTGCTGCACGCAGGAGGCGGTCAGCAATATCTTGCCTTTGTGAGAGAGGGGAGGAATCCAGGCAACGGGAACTGGAAGGAATTGCTTCGCGTGGAGGCAAAAATCCAATTTGCCCTGTTCGAGGGAGGAAATCACAGGCTGGAAACAGCTTGGGACTGGGCCACTGGCTCAGAAGGAGCAGAATACTGCCCGTCACCTGCGTGCCCACCAGCTCTCTGCCTTTGCAATGGTGCAGCAGCTGCTGAGCCAGCCCACTGCGAGGTCCTGCAAGGGAAGGTAAGAGAAGGACTCTGCCTCAATCCAGACACTGCTCTGAAAGCAGTCTTTGCACACCAAAAGCTGTCAAAGCGGTAACTTAGGGAAAAGAAAGCAGAGGCACGCACTCTCTCTGCATATATCCTCACTCCTAGCCCTGCCTGCAGCCCCAGCCAAAAAGTCAGATCCTGTGCTCAAGAAAAAAAGGCAATTATTACACATTCCCCCACTCGCTTTGCTAATGAGTCCCTAGTCCCCTCTCATTTTTGGCTGCCCCAAACCAGTAGGGAGGGGAATGGAAAGGATATGGCACATTCCTGTGCTCCATCGTGCCTCCTCACGCCGAGGAGACAAAAAGCGAGGAACATCTGCAGGAGAGATAAGCGGCTGTCTGGCTCTGTTCAGCAGCACGTGGGGCTCCCTGTTCTTGTTAACAGGTGTTAATACAGCCAGTGACCAAATCCTGCTTACGGTTGCACCAGGTTAAAAAAATCAGCAGATCACCGTTGACTTGGGAGAAATCATTCCTGGTGTCACGATCCTGAAGCTGAGAGCAGAATCTGGCACACAGGCGATTACAGAAATAAATTAGAGGAGGCAGGACTTATCCAAGACAGCCAAAACAACGGGGCATAAATACTGCTTATTTACACAGAGTGCTGGATAAGGTAGTGCTGACCCTTTTTGTGCTCTAGAAGAGATAGCCTCAATAATAACAACCATTTTTATTTGAACGCTGTGTAATGGAAAACTTACCCTTGCCATTTCACACTTCCCTCACTACAGACACCCAGCTGATCTCATAACCCTCCTCCCTCTGCCACATCCACACATATCCAACTGTCCTCCCCATGCAGCACAGTAACTCGTATTTCATCTGTACCACGGGCTTCGTGAGCTTGTAACCCTGCCCACAGAGCGTTGTCAAAAAGCCACCAGCTGGAAAGGAGACTGGAATGAAATCTATGCGGCTCTGCGGCCTTCGGAGTGATTACAACTATGACACTTAAACCCGCTAATGTGCTAAGCATTTTCTGGCAAAGCTGGTGGGTTACTATGGTATTTTGGGAGGGGGCAGGAGCTCGAAAAGATGTCTTCCCCGGGGAGGAGCAGAAGGAAGGAGACAAAACGTAACAAAGCAAATTCCTCGGCAGTCTGCTCTTCAAACTCCTCAAACTTGCCATAACAGGGGTTATATTTCAAAGATCCAAAAACAGCTTCCCAGGACGAAAATAAACTTGTGTGTTCCTGCCAGGTGGATGCACAGGACTGCCTTTTGATGAATGTGTTCTGATTTCCTAGAAGAAGTAGCAGCTTCCCTTCCTCCTGCCCCTGTTCTGGCTTTGGTCAAAGCACTGCCTGGTAGTTTTATTCTCAGGCTTTCCACTCTTCCAGCAGAAATTATTCTGTCCCTATCCCCTTTTTTTTTCTTTTTTTTTTTTGACAAAATCAGATGAGAACCAGAGAGGAAGTCGACACAGGAGTGCCACAGGCTTTGTTGTATGGAAAACCTCAGGGCCAAAGTGCTGACCAAATTCTCAGCATTCCTACTAAAGTGGGGGCCCAGGCAGGTTTGGTGGGGAAGGCACAGGGATCCCAGCAGCACCCCAGGCAGACGCCTCATGTGGGATGTCCCACTTTTCTGCTCCCAGCTCCTCTTTCAAGAACTTCTCTGTGTTTGCTTCTCATCTATTGTTCCTTCACCCATGTAAATCGCACTCCAAAAATGCCATTAGAGTAAACGATGTCAAGTGCCGTCATGCTTACAACCTGAGGGTGAAGATATTAAAACAAGTTTTTTCTCAACTAAGGCCATCTTGGGAACTACTTCAAAATAGTGGTAACAGGTTCTTCCGAGCCAGAGCTATGACTTAAGTTGATACTCTTATAAGAATCAGAACAATAAAGAAAAAGTACTAAGGATATAGAGTTATGACAGAAATGAAAAGCACAGCAAATACTGTGCTATTTGACATCCCCTCCACTCACCCATGCATAGCACTGCAAGTTGGAAACACCTCCAGAACAAAAGAGAGGTAGACACAAAGCCAGATCACACTCAGGTTACACCAGCGAGCTGGACAATTTTGCAAAACAATTTCATGCTTATGATATTGTTATGGTCTCCTTGACCATGGAAAGATAAAAATGTGTCTGTTTTATGCCTGGTAAAGAGACAAAAAGTAATCTGCCATAAGGAAGATAGTTTATGACAATCAACATAATGTTTAAGAGCAGTTTTTGAACTAATAATATGTTAAAATAGTAAAATGACACAGGACTTAAGATGTATCAGTAGTTTTGGAAATACAAGGAAGCAGACTGAAGAATCAATCTTCTTTTAAAACATAAGCTTCTGCTTTTGTTCTTAACCTGGCAAGTTCATGGGCATCTAAAGAGAGCAAAGAGAGACCACGAACAGAAACAGATTTAAGCAAAATTATTGCATAGTGTTATCAGAAAGATGTCTGCTTAGCAGAGCTATGAGGAAGCAAATGAGAAGTAGGCTCCCTTCTCCAGGCTTCTGTGCACTTCCCTTAATGTTACAGTAGCCCCCATTTTATAAGAAATTAAACACCACCTCAACAAATTTTCCCTGCTGTCGCTGTGGCTTAATCTTCCCCCTCTGGATGGTGTGGAGAATTGACGGCACGGGGTATATTCCAAAAGGAAGTAGCGAGGAGCACTAATGTAAGCAGCAAGTTTCACTATTAAAGACCTTTCACATAACATCCTGCTCTTGTCCTCCCAGCTGAGAGGCTGCTAGATAATTGCTCTGCACCCTGTCCCCTGCTGTGCACGTGCAAATGCTACCCGATATAATCTCCTTATGGCTAGGGTCTCACTGGAAGTGAACACTCCGCAACGTACACAGGGACATGTGCGAACAGCAGACGTCACTAAGGACAAAGTGCCACTTCTTTCCCCGCGTGCACTGTCACTCTGAACGCATACAGCTTTCACCCTACTTCCCATCACTGAAGGCTGCCAGGCAGGACACACAGCTCAAACCCAACGTGACAAAGCTGGGACCCCCCATTTCTGAAGGAAGGCTTGCACTGAGCCAGAGAAACTTGTACTGCCCCAGACAAGGACAAACGCTGCAAGCTTTGTAGGTCAGTGCAGCCACCTGGCTACTATCTACCAACACTGCCTATCTCTGTGAACCTCCCCTCCTGAGGACTTCACTGAACTGAACCCCCCAGGAGCCCCTTGAGGAAGTTATCTGCACTTCTGCTGATAGAGAAGCTAAAGGCACGTGGAGGACACAAACCCTCTCCAAGCACGGGACCTGCTACATTAGCTGTAACACCTGCACTATTTTAATCAACCAGACATGCTTTATCTCCTTCCCTGCCCACTACATGGCCACTCCATGCCATAGTCCCACAATCAGTTTAGGCCAGCAATAGCTAACACTGACCTTAAAATAAATGTCCTCTATCCTTCTCTTGCTACAGGTCCCAGCTTCACACTGTTCCCCCCTCATGCCAGCAAAGCTCTTGCATAGTCACAAAATGTAACACAGTAATGCTAAAGAAATGTTTTAAATCTGACTGTTTCTCTGGCCTGAATATGGCTGGTACAAGGAAAGGCAGGATCACAGCTGGGACACGTAGCCAGGGACAGCCAGAGGACAAGACTGCAGCACTGGCTAAATCCATTATGGAACTATGCCACCACTCAGCCAGTCTTACACTTTCTTCACTGAAATTATTATTAGTTATTTTTTTCATATTTTGAAAGAGGCAGAAACCAGGAGGTTATAAGAGTTGTGTCTATTGTTTCAACAGATCTGATGAATGTTCACCCTTGCCCGCAGAAGTCACGAATGTTATTTCAGTCTCATTTTACTCTGTTAGCACCTTCTAAGTCACTGCCATCCACACTGGAAATTAATGTGATTGTATGAACACTGAGGAGGAACAGACAGTTTTACCAGGAACAGACTACTCTGTATTGCTGTGCCTGCTCCGTTGGGCTTTCCATGAGGCCACATCGTGCAACTTTCCTCCAATTCTTCCTGCAGCACTGTTACTCTATCACCATCTTCACCCATCCTGCATTACCAACCATACATCCTGCTATCCACCCTGTCCAGCTTCTGTGCTTGGGATGCTATCAAGTCGTTAATGTGCTTTCTGAGAAGTCTTTTCCAACCTGAATGAGTCTACGATTCTATTTACATTTACTTTAAAGGAGGTTGTAGCAAGGTGGGGATTGGGTTCTTCCCAAGCATCAAGTGTTAAGATGAGGAGAAATGGCCTCAGGTTGAACCAGAGGAGGTTTAGGTTGGATGTTAGCAGAAATTTCTTTACTGAAAAGGGTCTTCAGCACTGCAATAGGCTGCTCAGGGCAGTGGTTGAGTCACCATCCTTAGAGGTCTTCAAGAAATGTGTAGATTTAGAACTTAGTAGCATGGTTTACTGGTGGACTTCACTTAAAGGTTGGACTGGATGATCTTAGAGGTCTTTTCCAGCCTGACTGATTCTATGATTCTACTTTCACACACAAAGATAACAAAAAGTATGGATAAGTCTCCCATTAAGAGATTAAACTTGATACAAGTCCAAATGTAGTTCCCTGTTCACATAATATTATGAAGATGTCCCAATAGAAAATCCTCCAAACAAGAAAAAAAAAAAGCAGTGTTTAGTGAGAGAGCACCACCTGAGAGACAGCACAGAAATTCTTTCCCAATGGATAGTCTACGTGTAACTCATAAACCATCCTGTCAACAGGAAGCACAGTTACTCCCATGCATTTGCCAACAAAACATATCAGCAAAAAAGGGCCCATCTTTCAAAAAGATCATAACATCAGCGAGCATAACTCTCGTGCTGTTATTCACACCAGATACACCATTGCAGGACACGATGTAGCTTCATTCTGCTTAGAAGCAGAAATGCATCGCCTTTGACTTCTCAGCCCCTTTGCCTACTGCAGAAACCCATTACACTCATCCATAATGGTGATTCAGAAGGAACAGGTTATGAACAGTGCATTCCAGTTCAATTAATGCTGCTGCCAGTGGAGCCTACTTAGGCAAAACAGGACTTAAACAAAGAACTATGAAGGGGAATGCCTTTGTCACATGTCCCAAGTGCCACCATGGCACGTGGAGGGTCTGCTACTTCCCACCTAATCCCCAGCCTCCCTGCCAGAAGCCACTTTGCCACTAGTCAAGAGGCTTGTGCAAGCATTCCCTCACCTTTACCAGTTGCAATAAACCCTAGCAAAGAGACCTGCTGTTTAAATTCTTTGTTTATGCTAATCTTGAATATTTTTAAAGGGAGATCTAAAAGGAGAAGCATAGCTGGCACACCAAGGGGACATTAACTTTCAACAGAGAGGCAAAGACAAGTTGAAAGAGACAACTGCTTCAGCTGTACAAGTGCAGCTCAGAGTGCGTACATATATTGCCTTGGCCTGCAGCCATCCAGCGGGAGGCAGATAACTACGGAGTCACATGTTCAGTCCAAGTGTAATGAGTTCAGCCTTTCATCAAGCTATGATATGTAAACAGCATGTCTATAAATAAATAAATATTCCTCTCCAATGCTCTTGGTAGCCTCAACAATCTTCTGTGATACATTAAAACAAACAGACAAGACCTTTGCTCCTTCTGGATCAGCTCACACTGCATCGGATACAACCACCAAGTACCATTGGTGCTATCTCAAGCATGACACTGGCAGGAGGAGGGTCTCAGAACATGACCCTAACTGCGAAAGCCCTGTTGGCTCCAGAAATACATCATAATCTCGCGGGATGCACCACAATTATAAAAGATTGTTCATCAGTATGGTAACAGGTCTTCAATATTTGTCATCCTTACACTGCTGTATTGTGCGCTACTTGAACGCATATTTCAAAGGAGGGCTGTGTTCCTGTGACTTAGTTTGAAACCCCAGGCAGTACAGAGCGCCTGGCTGGTAGTTCATGAAGCAATGCTCTGCCCTCAATGAGTCACTATTGAATTAAAGCCCAAACTTGATGTTAATGGAACAGTGTGCGGGTGCCCAAATCTGCTCTGATGTGGAGATCCTGATGGAGGACGATTGCTGGAGATCCTATAGAATCTATCATGTGGGTAAAATACACGCTAGGGGCAGATCTCACACTCCATTAAAATTGCAGTGTATTTGACCTCATGAAAACAACAGAGAAACTTATTCCTGAGGGGAGAAAGAATAGGAGTTGTGTGATGATTTTGTAATACTTGTGCTAGGCTGTGAGCTCTCCTGGGAAAAGCTCTCACCTTCTGTTTCAGCCACAAGAAAAACCTTACAGCACTACCAGGTCTTTTTACCATGGGATGGAAAGGCTGGGGGTCTCTTGTAGCAAAGCTTTCAGTAAAAGGAACATGACTGACTTCAAAGTCACATTGTTATCAGAAGGTTTTTTAACATCCTGTTAACACACATCTACTGAAGGTCACTCTAAGGAAGACACCAGGAAGAAAAAACCTAATGCTTCTCTGTTTGCTTACACTGCAGATTTGATTATTCCTTGCTTATCTTTGGACCTCCCCATTTTTCACACCTTTCATAGAGAACAGATGAGAAAAAAAGTGTATGAAAAATAGAAATAAATAAATAAATTTAAGTATAAGGCAAGTGTAATGTCAGTCTTCTACTGAATTCAAGTTTCATGCTGGTAGTCCCTTTAATTCCTCCTATTCAGAGTACTTTTCCATCTTCTTCCTCCAACACTTGTGCAGCCAGAAACAGACAACATGTTTCCATGTTGTAACCATCCTTATAAATACTTCATAATGTACATATACTCATGCTTTAACAAGCCCTATATAGGAAACACATAACTAAATTTTAGTTTGTAGACAGCTCTGTAAGCTAACATGAACAGCTTCCCCTCAAACATCTGCATTTGAGGCAGGCACACAAAGCAGGCTAATAGTTTCTGAACTCAGGCACTGCTTTGGGAAGCATCCTACAATCCTCTAGCCAGCCACCTTGGAATCTCCCTAGCAAATCTGTTCAGTTCAGGTTCGGACACAAACTGCCTGGTTTGGCACAACTGAGCTAAGATTCCACTTGCGCACAGCTCTTCTCCAGAACAACAGAAACGCCCGCCTTCCCAGCTGGCTCGCTACTCCACAAGAGCACTTTCACTCTATTTTGGCTTTCCTATTCCTTTTTGCAAGCTGGAATGCGGAAGTGACAGAGAAGGAAATCTTTACTTTGCAGAAATTTGTCATCCATGTTGCTTCAATCCTGGAAAGGCTCAAGTTGCTTCTTATTAAATCTGAATTTGTTTGTACTATTCTTACTGCGACTTCTTCTGATGTAGAGTGCATTAACCAGAGTTTGTACAATTGCTTCTGAATGTAACTTTCGTTCTTTATTCCAGTGGGATAAGTGAGGAGCAAACGTGGAGTTAAACTTCTTCAGTTATATGCTAGATTACCATCAACTGCTGCAAGGCAGCCTACAGCTTTACCATTACGTGTTCTCTATGAGGTTCACAGATAATGATGAAAATCCATCAACAAAAAAATTATTGGTAAGTAATACCGCTCTTGTGGAGTTCTGTATTATTCAGATCTGTAGTGAAGACTAACAAAATTTCTGTTTTTCTGCCACATTTTGAAATAAAGGGGTATGGGGAGAAGAACCAGAAACACTTTGAGAGAATTTCATTAAACTTGCATATTAACATAGTGGCATGGGAGCCTAAATTCAGTCAACAGTGGTCAGATGTCAATCTCATGAGCACCGACACCCCAGTGAGCAAGTTTTTCTGAGTCATACATGCCAAGAACTTTCCTGAAGAGCAAATCACCTAAGGAAATTGTATGGATTTCTGCCATGCACAGAAATTCTCAGCTCAGCTCATCTAGCTTCATCTGGAGTGGTTGCAGCACCACCATATCTGAGGTTACTTCCCAAGTTTTACCGAAGAAGGTTCCTAATTTGCATCAACCAAAAAAAGCTGAGATAGCTTAAATAGATCAAATTGGTGGTCAGAACTAAACTAGCTAATTTTCCCTGAAATGAAAGCAGTGGGACACAAACTGCTCTGTTTGGAGGTTGGGGCAACAGCAATTTCTGGAAGAGGGGAAGTCACAAGTGGCTTATAGTAGCAACGTCACTCATCGAAAGCTGTCCATTTCCAGACTAACTACACTGAATAAAACATGTATGTGTTTAACTCAGTGTCTTTCTATATGGCTTGATTTTGCTTTAGATGAGTAATATACTGATTTACATTAAATTCCTTATCATTTTACTTCCTAACTGAAAGAATAAGAAGGATCAAGCTGTCTCACACAGTCAAGGACTAGAATTGGCATAGATGGGCAGGAGAGCCTGTGGGACAGTTGCATTGCTGCTGGCAATGTTGGACAGGCATCAGGAAGGAGATTTAAGTCAACATAACTGGAAATCCAGCAACAAGAACTAAATTCAGAAAGAAAAAAGCCTCCGTGGCTACTATAAGCCTACAGTAAAGTGTGCTATCTCATTTATCCTAATGAAGACCTTACCTCTGATGTGGAAAACATTTACAGGACCACAGGGTATGAGACATTCTAATTATAAATCTTTGATCCATTATTTGGTTTCCAGAGACAAATTTGTTTCTGGTGTAACTCCAGCGAATTCAGAGACATGCCAAAGATGAATTCTGTAGTTAAAAACCATTTGGAGAAAATCTCATGTTGCAGAAACAAAACGAGTTCACACAATGTAACTGGTAGGTATCTTTTCTTGCAGGAAAAACAAGATTGTAGAGAAATTAAAGTGGCAGCTGACCTCGGGAAGAAAATCAAGCTTCGTGTTACAACCTCAGCACTTATTTTGCAGACTATAAAAGTTGCTGTATTTGTTGTATTGACCAAAAATATTAGGTGAAAACACTGTAACAGACCCCTGTACTCTCAAGAACATGAATTCTTGGCAGTTGGAAAAAGAAAGACACCTGTTCATAGCAGTTAAATGAATGGACTACTGATGGTTCAAAAGCAACAGGAATGAAACCAAGCCTGTATTTTGCCTTTGCTGTAATTCCCACAGTGGTCATTCCCTTATCCTGGGCACAGACTTGTCCTGGAGACTGTAACTGACTCCCACTAAATCTCCCACATAGCAGTCCATCCCAGCCTGGTTTAACATTTTACTCACTCCTGTGATGCCTTCTGTTCCAGAGGAGGTCCTAAGGACTGACAGCAAGTGAAGCTGTTTCTCAGGCTCACACAAACCCACCACGTGGAGATCCCTGGCTTCCCAATCAGCCATCCAATGCCTTCACTAGTATCCTTAGAAGACATTGTACGGCAGCATCTTCCTGCCATATGTCCCTGCCTGCAATCCCCCTTCAGCGTGATTCTCATAGGCTTCTCTATGCTTCTGAGAGATGTTCTGAGCTTCCTGCCTTGAACTGCTTTCCACCATCACTTCTTAGAATAAAGGATGCTAAGAATGGTCTAAGAATTGACGAACAGAGGATTTCTTCTCCAAGAGACTTGTTTGGGAATGGGATAGATGAGGATTTCTAGCACAGAAAAGACAGGATAGAAATAATAATTGCAGAATAGAGGATTGATTGGACTGTCCTTTCATTGGCCTTAGCAAAAGGTGGGAAATCAGTCACTTGCAAAGTAGATTCTTTAAGAAATGCAAGAGTTAATGTGTAAATGTGAAGCATTTTGTTTAAGTATATATTTCTTTGGCCAACCTTGTGCTGTGCCCTGTCATCTAGGAAAGATGGATCAGATTCCTGTCCTTTTTTATTTTTTTGGTTGGTTGGTTGGTTGTGGGGTGTGTTTTTTTGCTCCCTGGAGTGGCAGGCTAATTAAGGAGTGGCAGAGACAGGCTCAGAAAAGTCCTATTCAAATATCAAAGAAACAGATGCAGCAAGACAGACAGACCTTCACTGCTAGCTGATCCTCAGAGCAGCTCTCCCACTGCACTGTGCCACCACTGGTTTGTCACATGACATGAAAGAGACTGGTTTGCTTTTATCACCTCTCTAAACTACGAGGACTGTGCAAGTTGTAAGAATTAAGCCAGTGAAATTCAGGAGCAAGAGGAGATTCATGTCTTTGGTGTTTTAGAGTGAACCATAAGCAAAGAGGGAAAAAAAGTAGTCTCGTGCATATAAGGCAGGAATGTTGGCTTTGTTTAGCCAGTGACTTCAGTAAGAATTAAATTAGCTTGTGATATCCACAAAATAAAATTGAATCCATTTTACCACTGTAATCAGGCAATATCAGAGCTTCATGCAACTTGAACGCAGTGCTCTGTGCCTTACAAAGGCCGTGGGCCACTTACTAATGAGCAGAGGGGTAGAGATGGAGTCATGCAGCTCCCCACGAAACCCAGCCTGCTGTGTTCCCCCCCGCCAGTTCCAGCCCCAGCTGTACACAGCGCTTCTTGCCTGTTTCATTTCGGACATAACCACCACTCAACACATCATTAGGGCTGCCTGGACCAAACCCAATGCTCTCCACAAAACAGCAGCTACTCTGAAACATTATGTCACCAGGACAGCCTAGGCCTTTAAGGGTTCACCTGAGAGGCTGACAGGAGATAGGAGACTGGAAGAAAAAACACATGCAATGACAGCTTCTCTTCTCTCATAACAGGGAGCCAAGGTGTGCACTTGCTGAAGACCCTACAGAGGTCACCTCTGTGTGTGTATTTGTGTGTATTTTCACAAGAAGACTACATCTGACCATTCCAGGGATTTTAAGGATTTATACCCCTCAGCCTGGCAAAGATACAAAGGTGATGAATAAAATGTTCCTCCACAGGCTTCTGTCCTGCCCCTTACTGTGGTCATTGCACACCCCGTCACCCAGTGAAGCTGGACTTTCCACTGCCGGTCTGACCACTGCTCAGAGGTTTCCTGTTTGGTACTGTGAAAAGATAGTTGTTTGTTTGTTTTTTGTTATTATTTTGTTTTTATTGTTTAAACTGGGTAAAATTGTCAGAAGACTATACCTGCTCCTTGAATAACTACATATGCACAATGCCATAGGTGGGCATACCACACTAAGGAGAAATGAAACAGGAGGAGTCTGCTGTGAGGAATTTACAATCTCCATTAAGCATAGCACAGCGAGGGTGACAAAAACAGTGGCACAGGAGGACACATACCACAATAGTGAGAGCTCACAGGATGTGTTCAGAGGGTGTAATGAGCTTAATGACTCCTCTTCTTGTGTCCCTTCATTCCCCACTTCCCCCTCATTCATAGCATTTAAATCCGTAGACAGTGAACGCAGTCTTCATCTCAGTGAGGCAAATGGCAACATTTCAAATGACTTCAGTAGCGTCAGGATTTGGCTTCATATCTGGCATAAAAGACAAGGGTGGAGAACAGCAAAGGAAGGCCAGCCTAAAAGGAGTGGATTTTGTGAGTGGTTTGGAAGAAAGTTGAGTACAATGCACAGGGTCAGGGGAAACATCATTATATGATACGGGAAAATGCACAGAGACATTTATGGCAGGAGAATGCTGGAGCAATGCAGCAAGCTGAATTAGGAGAGAAGCTGGCACAATTAATAAAGCAAAGACAATCAGATACACAAGGTGAAATTCTATTCCGTGTTTCACCAATATAAAACCACCAAATTATAAAGAGCATACTATACGGTAAGACAGAATCAGAAGGGTCTGGAGAAAGAAACTGAGTGTGTTATAGACAAAGACGTGGTGCTTGAATCAGAAAAGGAGACTGAATGCCAGCACAGGGAAAGGTGTGGGCAGCACACATCGGGAGCCTGTTGGAGAGGAAGATGATTTTTAGCAAACATCCTGTTGTATATGTATAATACAAGAGAGTGGGAGGCCTGAAGTCTAAGAAAATGGGCACTAAAGAAGGGGCTGATTAGAAATGGCAAATAGCGGTGCTTCAGGCTCTGAGTTAAAACAGAAAACAATAGCAACCCTTGTTATATGGAAGGGTCAGAATTTCTGCTATAAAAAAAATAAAAAGTAAATAAAACCACAGTTGTTTACAAAGGTAAATATGTTGTGGATAGGTGTCTGTAGGAATGCAAAATAATGTAACTAACAGTAATGAAAAGTAATTTTTCCCAAGTGAGATGGGATTTCAGACCAAAGATCTTCGGGACAGGTTGGAAGGTGGAAGAGAACAGCAAAAAGAAATATAATCCTAATAGGATCTTAAAAGTCATAAACAAAAGATAATAATCAGCTGTGTGTTCTCTTCTCCAAAAAGACCACAGGGAGTTTCCATGACACAGTAGAGGCATCAGGGAAGAGACCTCAGCTGCATCAAGAGTCTCCATGGGAATTAGCACCATCTGCTCCACACGGCGGAGAAGGAGGGGGAAAGGGAAGGGATGGGCAGCGCACACCAAGACGCGGTAACACGCCGCATCTCTGCCGGGCAGAGCTGCTCACCACAGGTCAGCAGCGCCACTGAGAAGAAAAACAGGCAGCAAAGGATTTCCTCTAAGAAGGAACATCAGGTGCACATAAATACTACACAAAAATATACATGGTGGTGATCAGGAATACAGAAGGAGAATGATCCCACTCGTTTCCTGGTGTACGCTGGCACACTTCCAGCAAGGTCCATAAGGTGACCAAGATTTACAACAGCGTGAGGATCTGATCCAATGAGCTAATTTTCTCGTATTGCTGCGTTATGAATTTGGCAGAGTAAGTTCCCACTAAGGGTGCTGTCACCGTGACTTTATTTGGAATCAGCAGCACTGGTACAGAGGTTCCCCAGTCGGTGTAGACGTGGTGTTTACACCAGAAAAGGAGAACCTACAGAGGTCACATTTTGTTTAATGGAAAGAACACAACTCTCTACACACAGAGCCAAATGTTATTAGCCTTGCTTACTTGAGTAGTTCCAGGATTGCCAATGAGAGCAAGGCACCCCAAAAATCCTAGTCTTGCTCTCCTGAAAAGTTAATGCGATTAGTCACATGAGTAAAATATGCAAGATTTGTCCCTTAATGCTGAGCAAGCTAGATGAACACTGAGTGCTCATCCATAAATTAGTTACTCTGGATGCTATTTAAATACAAATAGCAAATAAGTGATGATAACAGTTATGTATCTGATGCTGGGTCCCAGCTGCCACGTGGGAGTTTGAGCATTCTTCACTATCAGGCATCCGACAGCCAAACACTTTTGTTTGCAATTTTAAATGGCTGTACTGTGTTAGGACTGTTAGCATCTCCAGATAGTCCAAAGAAACTTGAAGAAGTTATAAACCTGCAGAAAGATCTGCTCATTACTTCTGTCCCCTGAATGTCTTTCTGTAAGTATCCAGTTAAAATATAGATCTTTCTCATCTGTTTCAGGAAGCGCGCCAGCCTGCACAGACCAAAGTCTGATTCAGCTTAATGTAAGTCATGTGAAAGGAACAGAAAAAGTAAAATGTCACAAAGAACTTCATTTTTGGAAAGCTTGATGGCACTGCACAAAATACCAGCCTGGTCATTCTTTGAATTTGAGTTACCAAATACTAATTAAAAAAATAAAAACTAGATCTCAGTTTCAAGAAAAGGCCTATGTCAAATAAATAAAAGTATATGCACAATGGACCTTGCTGCATCTTGTTGACACATCCCTTCTTCATTATGGATTTGAAAAATGTAATGTTAAGCTAAACTATCCAATTCTACAAGCCATTTCTTGTTGTTTTTTTTTTTGAATTCCAAATCCAACTACCACTAGAGTCTGTAGAAGGGCCAAAGGAGACAACCTGTCCATTCAAACATGGCCACAGGTTGAAAGAGCACTTTGAAACACCATGGGTTGCTGCAGGGAGAGCAGCAGTGCTCAACGGAGCAACAGGAAGGCTGCTGGAAGTGGAGTAGCTGCCATGCCAGTCAGCGTGTCTAGGTGGGGATTGCTTCCCTAGCCACTGACAGCGATCTTAAGATCAGGTTTTCTCTCTGGTGTTAAAACACCTATGGCTCTGAGGGAAATAAAACAGGATGTAAACACACAATGTGCCGAAATCAGCCAAGGGATCTAGAGAATGGTTCACATGCCAAAAAACTCTAGTGCTAGAAACCAAGTGAACGAGGGAAAGCCCTCGGGCAGAGTCCGGAAATTGAAGCATACCAACTGCTTTTCTCCCTGCTACTTCATATCTTACACAAAACAGTCTCTCGGCTTAAAAGACAAATACAAAGACGGCTGATACTGGTAATTTGACCAGCCAGAGAACTAAACTGTGCTACTTGCCATGTTTGGGTTGCTCTGAAACACTTCAGAAGCAGTTATGAAATCACGCTAAACTTCAAGGAATGCCAGAAATGAAACTTCAGGTTGGCCCCAGTTTTCCAGGCTGGCCCCAGTCTGTGCAGGGGGAGAACCCAAGCCCTGCTAAAGAAGCGAGATACTAGTACTACGATTCAAGGTTATCTTTAGCTCCAGCAAACTGAGAACTATTTTCTGGTTATCAAAATAGTGCATGCATAAATGAGAGAAACAGGATGTGGCAAAACGACCAGAATCGTTTAAATTTTATTCTGAATCAGGACTCTGCCAGCCTCCACACCGTATATGGAACATTTCCCCTGCAGGTGCAACAAGTTTCTGTAGGATTTGCTCTTGCATGTAGCATCCCACATACTAATATTTTAATAGATGCAACGGCTGATTAGTTGAATTGTATTTTCCGGTGTGGGGGGCAGGGAGGAGAGAAGGAAGAAGAGGTGGAGAAAAGATACGTAAACTGCAGGTTTAGGGGGGGGTTCTTCCCCTCTTGGAGGCCCAGCTGTGCAAACCATATGTGGTAATATAACAAACCACCTGGCCAAATCATAAGCAAGTTAGAGTAAGAGTTTGAGGGAGAAAGGCATGAGACATTTCACAAGGGAATAGACCATTCTCAAAGAGGGATGGGAGAATTGATTTTCATGACAGGAGATAAAGCACAGCAGATAAAAGCAGATACTGTTTGATCTGCCCAACAGAAAACACAAACTGGAAAAGTGACCTAGCTGAAGGAGCCAGGGAGCAGGCCACGGGAGCGACAGCCAGGCAGGTGCCGCTCCAGCAGCACAAAGCGAGGAGATCCAAATGGCCTCTCCGAAGGGCACAGGGGCGTCACTCGCTCTGTACAAACAGTAGGTCCCCACCTCAGTCTCCACAGAGGACCTAATCTTTAGCAGCCACTCTAAACTAAGTTGCATGCAGTGGAGTATGTATGTTCCTAAGAGAGCCTTGTCAGCAGGAAAAGGACATTAATCATTTGTGTTCGCCAGACCCAATGTAAAAAGTGGATGGTTTCACAGACAGCCCTTTCCACAGGTACTTCCTCCGTCCTGCCAGGCATATCTGAAGGTTTTACTTCCATGACTACTGAAAAGCTTCTATAAGCCCAGGCCATGTGATGAAGATTTAACCGATTTGTTGATCCATAAATGATTTAGCTGAAGGCAGTTATTCTCTGCCCACTAGACTCCCTGTGACCCCCTGCCCTCAATGTAGTTTGGGTTCATTTGGGTTTGGAAGCAGGATTGTCACTACCGTTATGAAACACTCTGTGAACAAATGCCCCCTTTCTGATGGCTTTTGGACCAAATGACAAAATCTAAGCAGGAGATTCCTGACTACAGAGAGGACTGATTTGTACGTGCTGAATGGGGAAAAGGAAGAAGAGGATAAATGCTGCTGGTCCTTATTTGCCTGACCATGAGTCTGACTGGTCTACAGTACTAAACTCAGCTAAGCAGATAATTCAGTGGATGACCTTGTGTTAGCCACTCATCTTCCTTGCATTTTTATTTACTCATCATAAAGTGGGGCAAAGCAGGCACCTTTCCTGAAAAAACAAACAAGCTAGCTTCCAAACCAGGTGAATAAGTTATGGAAAGATAAATATATTCTGACAAACAAGAAAAAGCCTCACTTGTTCCAGTTTGAGGCTATCATCACAGGGAAGGAAAAAAAAAAAAAAAAAAAAAAAGGCCAGCTAATAAAATCAGCACAAATCACGTCCTCTTTGCAACTTCAGGGAACTCTGTAACCAAGAGTTCACTTTCACATGACGGCTGTGTAGTCAATTGTATTACATCTGTTCCACAAGCAGGGATCTGGAGCAGTCAAGCTCACACCAAGATTCTTAGAAGTTGCCACTGGTTCTCAACTCATTTGCAGTATCACAAAGAATTAATCAGCTCTTACCAGTTCTCATAGTTCAATTGCACATGTATTGCAATGTGGTGTTCTTCCTCAAAGTTCCAGAAACATGATTTACACAACTAGGAGCATTCATAGGCATTAAAAGTGTTTCTAACTCTTGGATTTCCAGAAAATACCTTGGATTGGTACCCTATGTGCTCTAACCTAAAAAGTAAAGACAGGCATTCAAAAAGGTACCATTAAAAACAATCAAATCGTAATTTTTAACCTTTAAGAGGAAAAAGCATTTGCCTATATTGCGGTTTTCAAGATTAGCAGCAGTAGTCATAGCTATACAGGGCAGGCTTCTGATTTGTTCAATGCAGCACAGGCAACTATGATTAGAACTTCTGGGGCTGACATCTCTCACTTGCTAAATCTTATTGGTTTATGGTTTCCTCACCTTATGTCATCTGGAGGAGATCTGTTGTCCTCTCCCATAACAGCACAAGAATTTAAAAATCTTAAAAATACGCATAAACTGACAATATATCAAAAACAGTCTTTAAGTCAATAACGGGGCTTCACTTTGATTTTAACCTTTGTGGATCTTTTGAATTATTAAGTCATTTCCACATAAAAGAAAATAAATTAGAAAATACTAAATGTTCCTACGCGCTCCAATGCTTTTCTGGAAAACAACAATTCACTGATTTAAGAAATTAATCAAAAATCTGCTGAGTTCTGTGAACTGGATTGATTTTGATGAATTTGCATACTTTACCCCAAAACAATTAGTCAAAAAATTCCCCTATCTTCTCTAGTTTCCATATCATTGCCCTAGAAACTTCCTTTTCCCTCTACCTACCTTGCCAGTTGAGCCTACACCATTCTGCTTTTGAGCAACAACTTAAACAGAGTCAAGATAACTTTCTTCAATTAGAAGAGCCAGTTCTGCATTTATATGGATCTTAGACTTTCTGATTATAGACACATGGCTAGCTAAAAACTCCAGGTAAAAAAATGTTTCACTGAGATCTTCATTATCCTTTCAAAGAAGCAAGAAAATTAAGAATGCATGGGAAATCCAGAGAAGGACGAAGCTGCCCTACTGAAAGACTTCACCCTCATCCACACTAATCATTTATTTTTACTTCTCATCCTCCCACCCAGTACAACAGAAGGAAAGTCAGCACATCTCTGTTAAACATCTATTGTAAAACTAGTCATCAAAATTCACCTTTACCTTTTTCCACACAGCTCTTCTTGACAGTGACCTACTCTTATATGTACATCGTGGATGGCATTTATGAAGGGGAGAGGGGTGGTGTTTCAATTCGGTCTCCCGTGGACAAGCTGCCATATAACTTGACACACACCATAGAATTACCACCCTTGGAGAGAAGCCATAGGCTTTAAAGTGTTGTAGAGCATAAAATATCTTCTCATTCCTTTGAATGAATGATCCCTTGATCTTTTTAGGCAAGATGAGGGAGTCTTGTAAACTCTTGCCTATAAACATGCTGAGATAAAGGAAAGACGCTGTAACCACCAAAATACAAGGAAGAGTACTTATTTTCCTTCTTCACCACCACCCCCTTCCCTAAATTTAATACCTCTGTAAACAGCAACTCCCACTGAAGCAAGTCATTTAATATTAGCAGAAGACTTCTCCTCCACCTTCCAAATCTAAGAACTCCTTTGAATCCACTGTTGGTGAGGTGCCCTCAGCAGACTGTGTACCCAAGTCAGTTGCGTGCACATATATACACACAGAGAAGCAATCTCTAGTAATCACGATGCATATGTCATAATTACAGTTTGTCACTCAATAAGCCCTTTTAAGGTTTTTTATGAGCATTCATCAGCTAACCCTGAAAACACTCCTCTAGTGCACGTAAGATTTATTGTTCTCCTTATACAGGAAATGAAAGAGTTTCTGAGTAGTTAAACAACCTGTCCAAGGACACTCAGGATGCAACAAATAAATGCTGGGTGTTCTGACTCATTATGCCTGAAAACTAACTGCAAGGCATGCTTCTCATGCTTGTTTCTCCAGGCAGCTTGCAGAGTTCATTAACATTTTCAGGAACCATATAATCTGAATTGTCAAAAGGACTTCCCTGCCCAACTTGACTAGACAGAGAAGAGGAAGGAGACTCTTCTTTTATACACTTATATCTCAGCCTCAATCTTCCTGTCCTAATGGCATTCTCAGAGTTGAATGAGAAAGAGAGACAGGTTACTAAGCTTTCTGGAGCCTCAACCTAGCAAAGGAGAGGTATCCTATTACAGCTTCAGGTGTTCTGTGATAAGTGGAAAGTCTCGTGTTATCTGCCTTTACCAGGTGTCAGGTGAGAGGGTCAGAGGTTCTGTTTCAGCTAAAAAGCCTCATCTTCACAGAAAATGAGAACAGTTAAGCAACATGTTCAACAGGTGACACCAAGTAGGGTAAAGAACTGTGAAGGGAGGGGTGGTAAGGGCTTCGTAAAGTTCTTCTCATATTAGAAGTTTCTGACAGAAACCATTATCATTGCATCATTACCTACAGTGTCTCTAGCTCAACCACTATTGCTCTATAAATGCCAGGAAAAAAAAAAAAAAGTACAGCATGTTTTTCTTAGATTATTACTATTTATTTCTCCATACAGTTCAGTTTTTCCTAGAAAAGCTGTTTCAGACTGAAGTCTTGGCACTTCAGAATAAACGATCAAAAATGAGAAATACAGTATTCTATCCCACACAAAACCTACTGCTTCCAGCACTCACTTTAAGTAGCTCTATTGACACAGTATAGTGCCAATAAATCAGCAAAAGTGGAGTCTACAGTTCTGAGCAAAGAAAATCTAACAAAGTTAAACATACTGCATGTGTTCCTTACTCTCAGGAAAGGGTGTTAAGTGATTAATATTAGTCTGTTCCGAAAATGTAAGACTTGCAAGCACTCCATTATTTTCTACTTAGTGCTCCCATTAAATATCTCTCCAGAGCATATTATAAATTCCCCAAACAAAACACGTGTGGCCTAGACAGCCTTCACTTACCATAGTCAAAAATATAGTTTAGGAAAGAAATTGCTTCTTGAGAATGTGTATTTCATACACCACAAACCATGGTCACTGGAAGTAACATGGGTTATAAGCAAAAAAACCTGTGTGCTCTACCTGGAGAAAGGAACTGTGAGGACCTTCCTCCAGCTGTTGCCAAATCCATGAACTGTGATACAGAGTCACTCCAAGGGCAATGCTTCCACAAGAAAAGAGAGAGAAGGGGCAGAGTGAGCTAACTCCCATTGACACTAGTAGGAGTTATGTGCTGTCTGAAAGAGATTCTTTCCTCTTTACAGCTGTGAAGAGCTGAAGGAAGCCCTCCGCATTGCTTGTTCTGGGATACAAGTTTGTCACCAAGCCTTTACCACCAAGCTATTGTGTTATTTAAATACGTACTCCCATTACAAAGAATGAGACAGAATTCTTTCAGAAATAGAGAACTTTTTACTCTAGCATCCCTGCTGTCACATTTGTTCCATTCAGATTCCTTTCCATACCTTGGAAAGCGTTCTGAAAATTCAATATGAACACTAATTTGCAGCATGCCACAAAATATTGCATAATAATCCAAGGATAATTCAGGTTGGAAGGAACCTTGGAAGGTCTCCAGTCCAACATCCTTCTCAATCCAGGGTCTGCTGTGAGGTCAGACCAGGTTTCTCAGAGCTTTGTCTAGCTCAGCCTTGGAAAAATTCCAAGGATGGAGGCTGTACAACTTCCCTGAGCAGCCTCTATCCTAACGATCTCACCCAATGATACTAGATGGTGATGTCTCAGAACATTGAAAATAATTGTTTCTCTTGTTCAGTATTACATAAAAGAAATTGAAGAGACAAAATATCAGTAATGCCACCTTTCAAATGAGGGTAAACTCTGGCATATCCTAGGTTACCAGTGAGGGAGGAGCAGCTACCTGTAACAAAGGTCACAGAGAGGGCCAGAATGAAATGATGCACACAGGTGATTCTGTATTAGGAACATCTGAGTATGACTCTTATGGAGCTGTGTCTCCAAGAAGACTAACCATCATGAGGAATCGTAATACACACACACATCTACATATAGCTTTAGAGAAACAATATCCAGACAGGTATGTTCTGTCATGCTTAACACAAGCATAGGGGCCAGCAATGCCTAAATGTTATGTAAATCTTTCTAAAGTCCCAAGCCTGTGACTTCACCCCCCTCTCTCAGTTCCCTAATTTCAAAAATGGGAATAATGTCACTTGGACCCATCACAGGAATTTCCAGTATTAGCACTGATGCAATGCTTTGAAGATGTGAACTGCTATTCTGTGCACCTTCATTCAAAGCATGGAGACTGGACAGTGAGGTGTATCATAATTACACACCTTTTTGACTATTTCTGTACTACACAGTCACACAGC